GGCAGGTAGGCAGGGTGCAGAGGTAGGCAGGCAGGTAGGACAGCAGGCATGGCAGGAAGGTAGTAAGTAGCAGGTAGGAGGTAGGTAGGGCAAGCGGGCAGAGGTAGGTTTAGGCATGCGGGCAGGCAGGTAAACAGGTAGACAGGCAGGAAGGTTGGCAGCACGCCAAGTCGTAGGTGGACGCTAGCAGGTAGGGCAAGCAGCAGCATGCGGTTCATGCAGGTAGAGTAGACAAGAAAGCAGGCAGGCAAGGTATGCTGGTAGCGAGCGTTAGGCAGGTAGGCAGCAGGCAGATAGGGTAAGGTAGGTAGCAGCTAGGCATGTAGGCAAGCAGGAGGACCAAACCAGGCAGGCGAGAAAGTAGGCAGAGGTGGGCACGCGTAGGAAGGTAGGCAGGTATGGCAGGAGGCAGGTAGGACGGCAGGCAGGCAGGTAGAAAGGACAGGCAGGGTAGGTAGGCACGTGTAAGGCAGGTTACCGATGTAGGCAGCAGGTAGCCAGTCAATGTAGGCAGGTAGGCAGTGTAGGAAGCGGTACGGAAGAGTATGCAGGCAAGACAGGCGTGAGCATGCTAAGAGTAGGGTTAGCAGAGCAGCAAGGCAGCGACAAGCAGAAACCACACCCGCAGCCAGCGCCGCAGCAGCAGCAGCACCAGCACACACCAACCCAGCAGAAGCGAACAGCATCCACCCCACCAACACCCAGCGCAGCAGGCAGCAGCAGAAGCAGCAGCAAGCAGCAGCCCACACACACACCAGCGAGCAAAGCAGCCGCAGCCCACCACCACCACCAGCCAAGCAGCAGCAGCAGCAGCAGCCAGCCAGCAACCACACCACCCCAGCAGCAGACCACCACCACCACCACAGCAGCAGCAGCAGGCCACCACCACCCACCACACCACCACCCACACCGAGCAGCAGACGCAGTCAGACCAGCAGATAAACCACCACCACGCCAACCAGCAAGCACGCACCACCGCCAGCCGCCGCTGCCGCCGCCACGGCACGCATAGCAAATCAACATCACCATCAGTTTCACCTCCCCATACCATCAGTTTCATCAATCACCGATCACCACTCCACCAATCACCAACCACCACCACCACCACCACCCACCACCACCACCACACCACCATCAGCCAACCAATCACCACCATCACCACTACCCACTGCAGCCGTCACCACCACCACCACCACCACCACCACCACCACCACACACCACACCCACCACCACCACCTACCACAACCACACAATAATCATTCAATCATCCACCGTATCAACCATCACACCACACCACCACCATCACCACTACCGCCGCCGCCAACGACCACTCACGACCACCAATAGCCACACCACGAAGAGATGCCCAAAGCCAAAAGCGCACGCCCGCGAGTAGATACAGCAGCAGCCACCACCGCACCATCTCCATCATTCACCACCACCAGCAGCACTCGTCCGATCAGGCTGCAGCGACTCCGGCGTGTACACTCACGGCAGCTATCGCAGCTGCATGGACTCAGCCTGAGAGGCCGAATTGACATTTGCATTAAACAGCGTCTATATCAACAACACATTTTCGTGAAACGCGCGCATAGAATTTCACGACGACGCGCATTCAGGGCTTACAAATCCAACTCCATTTGATGTACGTAGTGCGCCTGCCGATTTTTTCCACCCCTTACTATCTTCCTCTCTCACTCACTATCTCTCCCCCTCCCCTTCTCTCTCACTCTCGCCAATCCACACAATTCACAAAAGACCCTCAAGAACCCATTGACCATTTAAATTGAAATTGCGGCCATTAAAATTATTGCAAACTTCATTAACGGCCGCTGTCAAGTTGAGCGCACATAAAGCGACGGCTAATATCGCTAAAATGTCGACTCGCTGTGTCCGCTAGCCACCACCACCGCCTGTCGACCGATTGCTGCCCACCACCACCCGCCACTACCACCTGCACACACCGCCGCCACATAACTGTCACTTCGACGTGCTCAACACCACGCCGCACACTGCACACCACGCCACTGCCACCCACCACCGCCGCCACCACTGCCTACCACCGGCTGCCAACACTCACCGCCGCCACACTAGCGCAACCAGCCACTGCACCACCACCGCTGCACCACATGCCACCCGCCGCTGCCACCATTGCCACACACTGCTATGTCATCGCTTGCTTGCCACCACATGCCGACTGCACACACTGCACCATGCCAACCCACCGCCGCTGCCACCACCACCGCTGCCACACGGCCGCTTGCCAAACCACACAGCTGCCACACCGACCCTCCACCTCCCAGCTGCCAACACTGCCCCGCCGCTAGCCACACCCCGCTGCACCACCCAACCACTGCACACCGCCGCTGCCACCCCACCGCTATGCCACGCATGCCACACTTGCCACCACCCCGGCTGCCCACACTCCACCACCCCACTGCACCACTGTGCCATCACCACCTCTGACCGCTGCCACCACTGCCACCACCGCCGCTGCCACCACTGCCACCACCACCACTGCCACCACCGCCGCTGCCACCACCACCACCACCAACAACAACAACCACCACCGCTGCCACCACCACCATCATCACCACCAGCAGCAACAGCAGCACCACCACCACCAGCAACACCACCACCACCGCCATCACCGCTCGCGCCGCCGCCACCGCTGCCGTCGCTACCGCCTCATTGCTGCTTTTAATAGTAAATTTTGCGGCGGTGGATCAAGCTGAGAGGATGCAACGCGGTTTTAAAAACGCAACAGCGATGATGAGAAGGAGAAAATCTGCCACGCAGCCGAAAGAGACCGGCATCACCGGTCGCCAAGGCGATGCAAACACACGAGATGGATGGCAGACTATCAACTAGACAGAGTGCACTCACGAAGAGTGCATACCTCCGCCAGCGACATACGCCATACGGCATACAACTGACGAACACACGAATAACCCACGATATACGCCAGCGTACTGGCATGTACACGCTGGCTTGCTGGCTTGCTGCTAGTTTGCTCGTAGCAGCCGCTCGTTGCTGCTGCTCGCTCACATGTACACGCTTGCTGGGTCGCTGCGCTGGCTGGCTCGCTGACTCGACGCGCTAATATCGATTGCGCGAACACACGAACACACAAACACACTAACACACGAGAGTGATCACATAACCTCCTCCAACTCCGTTGGGCGGAGGTAATTACTGTCAACAACGTCGCAACAATGACAACATCAATGACCACAAAACGATGATGATGACAATGAGGTGACAATGATAACTGCGACAAAGATAACAATGAAAATTACTTGACAATGGTAACAATGACAAATTCACTGACTACGATAATGATGACAATTACAATGAAGTGACAATGGTGACAATGACAACAATGACGACATCAATGACTATAACAACGATAATGAGGTGACAGCGACAACAATGACTACAACAATGACTAAAACAACGATAATGACAATGACAATGATGTGACAATGACAATAATGATGAACAACAACTACGCCGATGACAGCGAACAACAATAGTGACGATGACGACGGCGACTGCCGGTGGCCTAATTAACAATGTTGCGCTAACATTTGCTGCCATCGCCTGACAACCTGGGAACTTGTAAACATTGCTCGATCACTTGCCGCCCTAACTGCCCAGCGGCTTTGTCTCGTGCACCTACTTTCAGCCGATTTCCCCCGCTCGATCGTCACGCCCCCCCCCCATGGCCTACTTGATGATTAATCGCTGTATCAGTTTTATTCGTTCTTAATTGCCGCAGCAACTTTTTGAAGCAGAGAACCAAGCATAATTAGGCCTAATCAGATCAACTCTCGTGCGCGTTGGGGAGGGGGGGGGGGGAACTGGCTGTTTTAATACAAGCTCAGTAGCTTAATGTAAGCTACAGTGAAACCCCGGTGTGACACCGTGCTGCCATCTGTAGTCGGTTTTCGACATGAAACCGCGATGGCGGAAGTTGCGTTCTTAGTTAATGCGGGCCGCATTTAAAACACCTGCTGAACATCCAGAGGATCGAAGAGTATTGATGTACTAGGCGGCAGGTTAGCTGCAGCCATAGCCACACAACCTCCTGTCATTTAATATATATACCTACACCGAAATTACAAGTTTACGAACGAGCCTGGCAAGAACACATAGATAGTATATTATTATGCTTGATCATGCTTGGCCGTCTGAAGGTAATGCCCGATGCTTAACATACCTTGGATATAAACTAGGGTCACTCACACTACAATGTACATGTGCATCACTTCTATCGCCATCGCTTTATTCCATTAGGATTTGTTTGTTTCCCTTCCTACTGCCAAAGTGACATAATTAAATGAAATTTGTGGCAGAAACAAAAACTCCTCAGCAATTCCACTTTTCTTTCTTCTTCGATTCTCTTTCTATTAGCATTCCTTTCCTTTTCCATTCTCCTTCCTCTCTTCTTTCATCCTCCTTCCTTTCCTCTTCCATCCTCCTTCCTTTCTGCTTCCATCCTGATAAAGTGTCAGACACACCTGGCCGTTCTGGGAAATGGAACTACTAAGTCTACCTCTATAGAACGGTCACCTGCCTATTAAGGCCATGATTTCTGGCTGACGACGATGACGATGACTACGCCGACAATGATGACGATGACTACGATGACGATGACAGTTGTAGTCGCTTCGGATTAATCCATTAGTCGCAGCAGCCGGGCTTTACATATATCGCGCATACGATCACGTGAGGCGGCAGTTTTTCCCGCATGCGTGTACAATCAATGCGCGAGAAATGATTAGTATATATATCTCTCACGCGCGCTCACTCGAGAGCTCTCGAGAGCTCTTTCTCTCTTTTCGTTTCTCCTCTCCCCGTCTCCCCTATCTCCCTCTCCATCTTCCTAGCGTACTCTCTCAGTCTTTCTCTTTCCCATCTCTCTATCTATCTTTCTTTCTCTCTTCTCAATACTTGTTGTATACAATAGCTACAAAGTATAGCACTTGGTACGGTCGCTATAACACCATGGCAACTCGCGGCGCGTCAGCGGTCACCATGACAACACGGGCCGCGTCTGCGATCACCATGACAACACTATCCGCGTCTGCGATCACCATGACAACACTAGCCGCGTCTGCGATCACCATGGCAACACTATCCGCGTCTGCGATCACCATGGCAACACTAGCCGCGTCTGCGATCACCATGGCAACACTAGCCGTGTCTGCGATCGCCATGGCAATAATAGCCGTGTCTGCGATCGCCATGGCAACACTATCCGCGTCTGCGATCACCACAATCGTGAAAAAGTGAGACCGCGTTCATTCTCAGGGATCTTAAAAGATCCAGACGATTATATTTACTGAGAGATTTCTATGAAATTTCCAGAGAGTCTCTCCTGTCTAATAATTCATCAGCACAACGTACGCACGGAGGAATTCTCCCTTCTCAAGAGGAAAATCTTGGTCAATTAAGTATGAAGTGCTCTCATCTCTACTGACAAATACTAGAAAATCTCACCTACTATCCCCAGCGAACAAAGGAATTCTTCCTGAATTAAGATGAAAAAGAATCTGATGAGACGAGTTGAAACAAATCGTATTATCTTCCCCCCCCCTCCGACAAAGTAGCAACCGCTAAGTCCGAAAACCCACATAGTCCGAAGGCACCGCCTAGGTCCGAAAACGCCACTAGTCCGAAGGCCCGCTAAAGTCGAAAACACACTAGTCCGGAAGGCATCGGCATAGTCGAAAACCCACTAGTCCGAAGGCCCCGCTAACGCCGAAAACCGACTAGTCCGAAGGCGCCGCTAGTCCGAAGGCTCCGCTAGGTCGCGAAAACCCACTAGTCCGAAGGCCACGCTAAGTCCGAAGCCACGCTAAGTTCCGAAAACCCACTAGTGCCGAAACCACTAGTCCGAAGGCCCGCTAGTCCGAAAACCCACTAGTCCGAAGGCCCGCTAGTCCAAAACACCATTCCCCTAGTCCAGAAAGGCCGCACCTAAGTCGCCGAAGGCGACGCGCTAGTCCAAACCCACTAGTCCGAAGGCCCCAACTAGTCACGATTGGAAAACTAAACATATTTTCAACTGATAATTATTTAGGCAAAAATTGTATGCTGATTGATGGCGCCACGTCAAGGTATGGCTAGCAGGAGAGTGGAAGAGAATAAATGTCATAAACCACATGCTGCAGATGGCCATGCAGATATTTACACTCGTCACTGGTTAGAACGCTGCTGATGTATTTTCAAGAAAAACATAGAACAAATAAAATTTTCCGCACAACATCCCACACACAACACACACACACACTCCGCCCTACATCCACTGTGAGATGTTATCGGGAGTGAGTCAGGCCATTATGGACCTAGCGGGCCTTTGGACTAGGCGGCAGTTACCGAGTCCCCACGCTGCCGCCCCCACGAAATACACCCAATCTCCAAACCCCACCACCCATCCACACACAACCCCAACACTAAACCCTCTGCCCCCAAACCCCACAGCATCCCCTAACCCACGAAACCCTACTCATACCCCCGCCCCAAACCGGCCGCACCCAACCCCCGCTTCTAGTCACAAAACCAGAACCCGACACGTGTATTTGCTCGTCGGCTGTATGTGACAACAACAACTTAGTCGTAGACATGCAGCCTTGTATTTTACCATATATGGCCTTCCCTCATAAATCAGCCAGCATAGCTAGCGCTGCAGGCAACAGCCCCTATTAGCCCATCAAATATGACATGCTTCAAAGATCACTGGGCCTAGCACACACAACAACACACATTATACGCACAACGCACAGAAGGCACGCAAACGCACGCAGCAGACACAGCTATCGACCGATCGCAACACCGCACACGCACAGACACGCACACCACACATGCAACGCAAGCGGGCGCGCGTGCGCAAACGCACACACACCAGGCAGCGTTATCACATGCAGCATCACGTGGTATCTTGTTGGAGGTGATATCTCGTATTAGCATTCTGTTCATTCAGGCATCACGCACCCCACCCCCCCGTGGTAGCGATACTCTCTCTCTCTCTACACGCGAGTGGTGTCTGTGTTATTCCGCAGTGGCGGACTCGCCTCGGACAATCGAATATGCGCTAGGCAGTTTTGTAGCCGCTGCTTCAATGCAGAAATGCAGCATGCAGGAATGCAAGGCAGGGCAGAGACAGGTAGGTATAGGGACGGGCAGGCAAAAAAGGTAGGCAGGCAGGATTAGGCAGGCAGGCGGGCAGGCAGGCAAGTAGTAGGCAGGTAGGCAGGATAGGAAGGTAGCGGTAGGCAGCTAGAGCAGGCAGGTAGGACAGGCAAGCGAAGGATAGGGGAGGGCAAGGCAGCTATGGCAAGTGAAGGCAGGCAGGCATACAAGGCAGGTATGCAGGTACAGGCAGGCAGGCAGGTAGGCGCAGCAGGAAGGCTAGCAAGGTCAGGCAGGTAGGTAGGTAGGTAGCAGGCAGGACAGGGGGGAGGATAGACAGGCAGGAAGGTAAGGGCAGGTAGGTTCAGGCAGGTAGGGCAGACAGGCCAGGCAGGCAGGTAAGGTTAGGTAAGGCAGGCAGCGTAGGTAGGCAGGTAGCAGGGCAGCAGGATAGGTAGGGCCAGGCAGGCAGACAGGCAGGTAGGCAGGCAGTAGGCAAGAAGGCAGGCAGAGCCAGCAGACAGGCAGGTAAGAGTAGGCAGGCAGGATAGGCAGGGGTGGCCAAGGAAGGCAGGTAGGCAGGTGGCAGAGAAGGTAAGGCAGGCCAGGTAGGCAAGCAGGCAGGCAGGAAGGTAAGGCTAAGTGACAGATGAAGGCAGGTAGAGAGGTAGGAGAGATAGAAGGACCAAGGCTGGGCTCAGGCAGGTAAGGTAGGCAAGCCGGGCAAGTGCCAAGGTAAACAGGATAGACAGGCAGGAAAGTAAGGTCCAGGCAGGCAGGATAGGTGGGTAAGGCAAGGTAGCAAGCAGGCAGGCCAGGCAGGTATGCAGCGTAGGAGAGCAAGAAGGCCAGAGCAGAGCAGGTAAGGTAGGCACTAGGCAGGATAGGCAAGGGTAGGCAGGCAGGCAGTAGGTTAGGTAGGTAGGCAGGTAGGCCATGTAGGCAGCAGGACAGGCAAACAAGGCAGGACAGGAAGTAGGGCAGGCAGGTGGGCAGGTAGCAGGTAGGCAGGTAAGCAGATAGGCAGGTAGGCAGGCAGGCAAGCAAGGTAGAAAGCAGGCAGGTAGGTAGGGCAGTAAGGCAGAGTAGGAATGTAGGCAGGCAGGTAGCCAGGTATTAGCAGGTATGGCAGGTAGGAAGGTAGGAAGGTAATGCAGGCAGACAGGCAGCTAGGCAGCTAAGGTAGGGTAGGCAGGCAGCAAAGCAAGAGCAAGCAGAAACCCACCACCCCGCAGGCTAGCAGGCAGCAGCAGCAGCAAGGCAACCACACCACCACCACAGCACCAGCAGCAGCAGCAAGCACCACCACCACCACCACCACCAGCAGCAGCAAAGCAGCAAGCAGCCAGCAAGCAGCAGCAGCACCACCACCGACCCCAGCACAGTCAGGCAGGCAGCAGCACCACCACACGCACCAAGCAGGCAGCAGCAGCAGCAGCAGCATCGGCAGCACCACAACCACACCACAAAGCAAGCAAGCACCACACCAACCGTACCAGTACCAGGCAGCAGCACAGCACCACGCAGCCAGCACACCTACCACCGACAACACACCAAGCAGCAGACAGCAGCAGAAGCAGCAGTACAACGCACCAACCAGCAGCACAACCAGCAGCACCAGCACCAACGCAAGCAGCCGCCGCCGCGAGGCGCCACAATTCGCCACCGCCATCATCATCACCACACCATCAGTTTCACCATCACCCATCCAACCATCAGTGCTTCACACATCGACCATCACCATCACCATACACCACACCACCACCCACCACCACCACCCACCACCACCAAACCCAACCATCAGCCGAGACCATCACCACCATCACCACTACAACCACATGGCCAGCCGTACCGACCACCACCACCACCACCACCGACCCTACCGACCACCACCACCACAGCCAAACCACCACCACGACCACAACCACCACCATACCATCATCATCGATCACGTTGCAGACGACATCAACCCCGCCACCACCACCACCAGATCACCACTACACGGCCGCCAAGCCACCACACCACCACCACCATTCCCAACCACCACCAGGTGGCAAGCAGCAGCAGCAGGCAGTAGAATTACACAGCAGGCAGCACCACGCCACCATCATCATCATACACCACCAACCAGCAGCACATCGTCACGATAGGTGCAAGACAGACTCCGCCGTGCACTCACGCAGCCTATCCCGCTGATGACTCAGCCTGAGAGGGCGAATATGACATTTGCATAAACAGCAACGTCTATATCAACAAACACATTTTCCGTGAAACGCGCCGCATAAGAGCAATTCACCGACGAACGCCATATCAGGGCTTACAAATCCAAACTCCATTGATGTACGTAGGGCGCCTGCACGATTTTTTCCAACCTTACTATCTTCTCTCTCTCACTCAACTATCTCTACCCCTCCCCTTTCTCTCTCACTCTTCGCCAATGCCCACACCAATTCACAAAAAGACCCTTCAAGAACATTGACGCATGTTAAATTGACAATTGCGGCCATTTAAAGAATATTGGGCACGAACTTCATTAACGCCGCTAGTCAAGTTGCAGCAGCACAATAGCGACGCTAATATCGGGCTAAACATGTCGACTCCGCGCTGTCCGCTGGCCACCGGACGCAACCGCTGTCGCCGTTGCTGCACCACCACCTCGCGCCTCTTACACCGCTGCCGACACACCACCACCGCCGCCACCACTGCCACTACCACGACCAGCTGCCGAACACCAACCGGCCTGCCGCACCACTGCAACCGACCTGCCACTGCCACCACCGACCGCCGCCACACGCCAGCTACACGCTGCAAACACCACCAGCCGCCAACCAATACACCGAGCGCCACTGCCCACACCACCCGCTGCGCACCACTGCCAACCACGCCGCTGCCACCATTGCCACACCACTGCCTGTCATCGTTGCTTGCCACCACTGCCGCTGCCACACTGGCCACCAATGCCACCAGCCGGCTGCACCACCAGCAGCTGCCACCATACCGCCGGCTGCCCGACCGAACGCACCGCTGCCACCACGCCCTCACTACCCAGCTGGCCACCAACTGCCACCACCGACCGCTGGCACACCCGCCCGCTGCCCACCCAACCCAGACCATGCACCGAACGGCCGCTGCCAACCCCGACCGGGCTGCACCAGCTGTCCACCGCCCCCCCCCCCCCCCCCCCGCCCCAAACCACTGCGCACCACGCACCGCCTGCGCCACGGCACTGCCACCACGACCAGCCACTCGGCCACGCACCACTGCTGCATCAACCAACCCTCGCCACCACTGCCACCACACCGGACTCAGCGCTGCCACCACTCGGCCAATAACCACCGCTGCCCACCACTGGCCCCTGACCGCCGTCGCCGACACACCCACCACAACGAACACAACCACCACCCGGCTGCCACACACGACCATCATAACCAACCAGCAGCAACAGCAGCACCAGACCACCAACCAGCAATCACCACCACCACCGCCAATCACCGCTCGCGGAGCCGGCCGCCGACACGCTGCCGTCGGCTAAAAACACAGGCCTCATTGCTGCTTATATTAATAGTAAATTTTTGCAGGCGGTGGAATCAAGCTGAGAGGATCAACGCGGTTTAAAAACGCGGTCAGGTCAACAGCGATGAATGAGAAGGAAAAATCTGTGCCACCGCAGCCGAAGACGACCGCGCATACCGGTCGCCGAAGGCGATGCCAACACACAGAGAATGGATAGAAGCAGATATCACTAGACAAAGAAGTGCACTCACGAAGAGTGGCATACCTGCCGCAGCGACATACGCCATACGGGTAAACCATACAACTGACGAAACACAGCGAATAACCCAGCGATAATACGCCAGCGTAACTGGCAAGGAGGGTACAGCTGGCTTATGCTGGCATTTGCTGAGCTAGTTTGCATCGTAGCAAGACCCGCATGCCGTTGACTGCTGCTCGCCTCACAGTACACCGCTTGCTGGATCGCTGCAGCTGGACTGGCCTCGCAGTGACTCGAAACGCGCTAACATATCGAATTGCGGAACACACGAAACACACAAACACACTAACACAACGAAGTGATCACCAATAACCTCACCCAACTCCAGTTGGGCCGAGTAAAATTACTGTCAACAACGTCGCCCACCAACATGACACATACAATGACCACAAAACGATGATGATGACAAGTGAGAGTGACAATGATTAAACTGCGACAAAGATAACAATGAAAATTACTATGACAATGGTAACAAATGACAAAATTCAACTGACTACGATGAATGATAGACAATTACAATGAGTGACAATGGTGACAATGACAAATGACGACATCAGATAGACTATAACTAACGATAATGAGGTGACACGCGACAACAAATGACTACAACAACGATAATAGACAAATGACAATGAATGTGACAATGACAATAATGATGAACAACAACTACGCGCCAGATGACAGCGAACAACAATAGTGGACGAATGAAGACGGGACTGCCGGTGGCCTAATTAAACAATGTATGCCGCTAACAATTTGCTGCCATCGCTGACAACTGGGAACTTGTAAGACATTGCTCGATCACATTGCCGCCACTAACTGCCAGCGCTATGTCTCTGTGCACCTACTTCAGACCGATTATCCCCGCTCGATCGTCACGCGGCCCCCGCCCCACCCCCATGGGCTACTTGATGATTATCGCTGTATCAGTTTTATCCGTTCTTAATTTTGCCGCAGCACACTTATTTGAAGCAGACGAAGCCAAGCATAAATTAAGGCCTTAATCAGGATCAACTATGCGTGCGCAGTTGGGGAGGGGGGGGAACTGGCATGTTTAAATACAGAGCTCAGGTAGCGTTAATAGTAAGCTAGCAGTGAAAACCCCGTGTGACAGCCATAGGTAGTGATTGTAGTCGGTTTTCCGACATCGAAACGGCGATCGGCGGAGTCTGCGCTTCTCAATGCTTAATCGCGGGCCCATTAAAACCCCTGCTGAAACATGCCAGAGGATCGAAGAGTATGTGATGTACTAGGCGGG